TCTCCGCCAAGCACGTATTCCCCTATTTCTCATGACTCCATCGATGTTATCAAGGAATCTTGTATTGTATCTTCCTCTTCTATGACTTTTTTGCACATTACACATCCGTTGTTGTAGATGTGTATCCTGCCCATCTTCATTTTAGCCTGGATTTCTTTCCGATGACGTCAGTCACCCTGGTTCTTTTCCCGATCTCTTCGTTTTTTATTTTGACTCGCAGTGTTGACCCATGGCGTCAATCCTATCTACTATATGCTGAAGAGCCTCTAGCTAGTTAGTGCTAAAGTTGCTGTATCGTATAATGTCTGTTGGAATTCCGTTAATTTTAATTCCTCTTTTTCCTTAGCAAATAAATCAAGTTTACATTAATTTTGTAAGAAAAGGTAGATGATCATAAGAAGAAGACTTTCTCCTTTCCTTTCTCCTCTCATTTCCTTTTAAAAGATACTGGTAAAAATGTGCAGTATTGCTGTAATTCATAAAAAAATTACTAGACCCAAAAAAATACTATTCTTGTAAGGAAACTAGTAACGAATCGAAACGAAGTAGGAGAATAGTAACGAATCGCCTTGAGAAAAAACTTGATTTCTACAAGACAATAGAGCAATCGGGATTTCGTACCAGATTTGGAACAAATGATCACTTACAGAGCATTACAACGGTAAAAACGGTAAGAAAAGACTATCGAATACACTCGACCACTCGTTCTGGCTTTTGTATATTTCCATAAAGCCTTTGACATAGAATTTGACAAAATCCTGGAAGCACTACAAGCATACCGCATTAACTACGAATATACAAGGTTAATTTACATTACATAAAGAACGCAACTATGTCGGTGAAACTACATGAAAACACGGATTATATCCCAATCGGCAGAGCAGTCCGACAGGGTGATACCTTATCGCCTAAATTATTTACCGCAGTACTAGAATATGCTTGTAAAAAACTAGGAAGAGAAAGGCCTGAACATTGACGGTAGAAGATTAACAAATTTGAAACTCACAGACGACATAGTTTTGTTCTCGGACAACCTCAAGGAGATATGTACAATGCTACATGAACTTCAGTTGATGTGAGCCAGTGTGGGTCTTAAAATAAACATCTCCAAAATAAAATTCATGACAAACCTAGCACCTAGCGGAAATATCACTATTGGAGACAACGAAGTAGAGTTGGTGGAAAAATACATATATCTTGGACACGAAATAAAAATCACAAAAGACAACCAAACTTGAGAACTACATAGAAGAATAAACCTAGCATAAGCAGCCTATGGAAAACTCAAAGACATCTTTAAAAGATATACCAATTTCTTTAAAACGTAAAACATTTGACCAATATGTGTTGCCTGTGATGACCTATGGTGCCGACACTTTAACATTGACAGCTACATGTTCTAAAACGGTGCAAATAGCTCAGAGGAAAATGGAAAGGTCAATGCTAGTATATCGCTTCGTGACTGAGTTAGAAATAAGGACTTAAGACGAAGAACATGAGTGACCGATGTAATTTCACGAATTGCCACACTAAAATGGAACTGGGCTGGACACGTCGCCCAAATCAGTGACGAAAGGTAGAAGATTGCTTGAGTAGAGTCCGAGGTTAAACAAAAGAAGTAGAGGAAGACACCCTACTCGTTGGACTGACGATCTCTAGAAAACGTCAAGAAATTGGATGAAAAGTGCTCAAGATAGAGCATAATAGACAAAAATGAGGAAGGCCTTTGTCCAGCAGTGGACGCAAAGGGTTGGGTGATGATGATAATGATGAAAAAAATACTAAGTAAATGTAAAAATGTAATAATGTTAAAAAATTCTGGAGATGTGCCAAAGCCAATAACATATAAGTCATACAATAATTGCCAGGAACCAGATCATAGACGTTGTGGACAAAATAATCAAGATGGCAGCAGCAAGTCACGAGCAAACTGAATAGACAGTTGAGACAATTCATCTTCACCAATGAAATAGAAAATCAAAATGAGAAAATCTTTCGTGTTGATATAACTGCGATATATCATCCCATATTTAGATAGTTGGCTAATGTTAACACTAGTACATGGTCTCTTAGTCTTAGAAAGTCGTCAATTAATTTTAGTAGTAAATTAGTTCAGAAATGAATTGCTCGCTAGTCGGTTGAAGAAATTGCAAACCCGAATGTAGATAAGATGAATAAAACAATAAACTCGACATATTATAGTAGAGACTTCTTCTTCAAGTGCCATCTCCGCGGCGGAGGTCGGCAATCTTCAGCTATTCGGACTATTGAGACGGCTGCTCTGAAAAGTTCATTTGATGTACATCCATACCACTCTCTCAGGTTGCGCTGCCATGACATTCTACGTCGCCCTCTGCTTCTCTTTCCTTGGATCTTTCCCTGCATAATCAGTTGGAGCAAAGTGTATTTCTCTCTACGTGTAATATGTCCAAGATATTCCAATTTTCTTGTTTTAATTGTATTTAAAATTTCTATTTCTTTATTCATCCTTTTCAGAACCTCTTTGGTGACGTGTTCTGTCCCCGATATTTTCGGAATTCTTCTATATATCCACAGCTCAAATGATTCCAGTTTTTTTATTTATGTCACATTCAAGGTTCAAGATTCCATTCCATAAAATAAAGTCGAAAAAACGTAACACCTCGTCAACCAAACTCGTAGTTCCACTTTTTAATCCCTTTAGTCCAGGCTGTGAGGCCGCTCCCGTTGGGAAAATGTTTCTGATTCGGGTTCTTCGCGGATTCCGGTTCAAAAATGTCCCCTTCAAACAAATCTGAAGGGTGCCGGGCGAAATTTTTTGGGCAGAAATTGTTTAAACAATTTTTTTAAACAAAGTCCAAAAATAATTTTTTTTTATTCTGGGAAACTTTTTTTTTATGTTTTTTGGGCCATTTTAAACAAAAAAAGTCTCTTGTCATTTTTCTCTAAAGTTGATAGTTTTCGAGTTATAAGCGATTTAAAGTCTGAAAAACGCGAAAATGCGCATTTTTGAGGCTTGAAAACACATATGTAAATTATTATTTTTGAGGTTACCAAGTGTCTAAATTGAAGTTTAAACATTCAACTTCAAGATTATAAAGAGTAATCGGAGCTTATTTTAATTTAGACCGTTGTTTTTTAATTGTTAAATATGCGCGTACACTCGATTTTTCAGCCGCCGCGGCGCGGTGCGCTAGAGTGCGCTTCTATCGTACTTATGCATAGTTTACATATACACTTACGCAAAAAAACCCGAACAAATCCTTGAAGTTTATTAACATAGTTTTTTCCATAATTTATTTATGTAGGTATTAATTATTGTCATTGGGCTAATTAAATAAATCAATCATCGCAATGTAATAACCGTATATAGTTTTCTTTTCTTCCAAATTTGAACAATATAATTATTATTTATTGAGTATATATTTATTTATATCAATTGTAAATAATATTTTTAAATTATTATTTAAATAATACAATGCAGTAAATATTAATATTAGTAAACTTTAAAGCAATATTAGCAAATTTTAAATTGCGCTGTGTTTAAAAACAATATACTATCACAAAAATGTAAGTTTTTACCTGTTTAACAATCTCGCGCTCATACTTGATTTGTTATTACTTAAACGATCATTAGGAAGACTATTGTTTAATGTCCATTAAAAGGGTATTATATTATTAATGTGTTATTAAAAAAATTGTGGATGGATTTAAAATGTCTTTTTCCGTACCTCTTCTTAAATGAAAACTTACCGAAGAAAATTTAGTTTGTATTTTTTGTAATAACATCAACAATATTAAGTTAGTGCAAAAACCTAAAGTAGATTTTTACATAACAATACAAAATGCTGCTCTTCGACGAAAAGACAGTGTGACTGAAAAATTTAATTTAATCTAGCCAATATACCTTGTACCTCTGACGCACTTTACCAACACTTGTTAAGAGCTTTCGCTAAAACATATATTTGGCGAAATGCCATATATTCCCGCTATCAAACTCTCGATTTTACACAATATGGATATTATATGTCTGATAGTGGTGGGTTGGGAAACCGTGCAAATGCAAAAAGACTTGCTTGTGTGTGTTATTTGTGTGATATTAGTGTGTTATTTAACAATCTTTTGTACAATTATTTTATGTAACTATTATTAGACTTTAGACGAAATTTATATTATAACTCAATTGATATAAATAAATATGTACTCAATAAATAATAATTATTTGTAAGTATATGTAAACTATGCATAAGTACGATAGAGGCGCACGGTAGCGCGCGGCGCCGCGGCGGCTGAAAAATCGAGTGTACACGCATACTTAACAATTAAAAAACAACGGTCTAAATTAAAATAAGCCCCGATTACTCTTCACAATCTTGAAGTTGAATGTTTAAACTTTAATTTAGACACTTGGTAACCTCAAAAATAATAATTTACATATGTATTTTCAAGCCTCAAAAATGCGCATTTTTGCGTTTTTCAGACTTTAAATCGCTTATAACTCGAAAACTATCAACTTTAGAGAAAAATGACAAGAGACTTTTTTTGTTTAAAATGGCTCAAAAAATATAAAAAAAAAACGTTTCCCAGATTAAAAAAAAATTATTTTTGGACTTTGTTTTAAAAAAATTGTTTAAACAATTTCTGCCCAAAAATTTCGCCCAGCACCCTTCAGATTTGTTTAAAGGGGACATTTTTGAGCCGGAATCCGCGAAGAAACCGAATCAGAAACATTTTCCCAACGGGAGCGGCCTCACAGCCTGGGCTACTTGTACATAGCACTCTTTCCATTTTGTTTAGACAAAAACTCTCAAAAACAGATAGAGTAAAACACATAGCAGAGGCAAAAAACTCCCAAAAAACAGATAGGGACAAAAACTTTAAACGTAGGATAAATGTTATAAGTTTTGCTTTTATTTGCTGCATAATAAAATAGCGATGCTAAGAAATAGACAATTTATTTATTGATAAATCATAGATACCTATAGGTAACGTATTTTTCATAATTGATATTTTATTTGCAGGGCTCTGTAACTCAACAGCAACGACCTCAGGCGCCTTCCAGCGGTTCTTCGTCAAACCTCGAAGATCTAATCCATCTTCATGGACCGCTCACTGAAGATGCAGTCATGAAATGTTTACAAGCGCGATTTCAAGCATCCAACTTTTACGTGAGTACTCACTTTATTTTAACTACCTATTGGTCATTGAACACGACTGACCTTAGGCGACACCTGCTTGAGCGCCTGAGGCCGTCTCTGCGTTCGTGTCAAGATTATCCGAGGTTGTCAGATCTGAGGAAATGATTAAACTCTAATATATGTCGTCTTATAAACAATTAAAGATTTAAACGATTGCGTGCTGATCTAAACATTTTAATATGAACGCTTAAGACAAGATAACTGTAAAATATATTTAATAATCTTTTTATTTTTATAAATTCTTTACTAGTTTATATCAAGTACTTTCTCTTTGGGTCATACCACCTTGTTTGTAGTTTTCCTCGATTCTTCTTTTATAGATATGGTTTTAGTTTATTAATTTTGATTTTTTGCTTTGCAATACGTCCTGTATAGGTAAATATGTTTTGTAATTGTTTCTGTTACGTCTCTTTTGGTTTGTTTCTTATCGCGTGGTTTCTTGGTTTGTATCGTAAAATTTGCCATTTTTGTTACTTGAACATTATTTTTGCGTTAATATTTAGGTTTCGGCTGAATATTATGTGAGTGTAGGGAGGGCATCTTGATTAAAAATACGAAATTGCTGATGCATAGTATAAATATTTGAGCTAATCTTCTGAAAACAATAAACATTTCATCTCAGTATTAGTGTGGGCCGTTGAGTAATGTGTTTTTATTTTGTTTTTTTTATTGAAGTTTCCTGACTACAGAAGATGTATGATAAGATAACTTACCATACAGTGTTTTGTTTTATAATTATTTTAATCTTTTTCCACTTTCACAGAGCTATATAAGAATGAGATTTTTGCGAGAAAATAAAATGTTCACTTGATTTCAGTCTGTTCCTTATATAACCATCTCTTTTTTCACCGCGTATCCTTGAGACAAGGATACGCGGTTACAAATTTGCTATTGACAAATATCATACAGGTATTTTTGATCTGTACTAATATCGTCGTTGCAGAATTCGTCAACTGATGATTCATATTTTTGAAAATGAAGTTTGTAACGACTATTTTGCTTACCTCAGGGTAAGAACATGGGGAGAATATTGAGCAAACAAAATAATCGGAACTAGTGCGTACGGCACTCAGAGGGTTGTTGGAGAGCTAGGTCGTGGATAAGTTGAAATAAAATTAGTCGGATTGGGATATCTACTAAATGAAAACAAAGGGATGCTTACATAAATCTCCTGAGTCAAAAACGAAATAAGATATGGCAGACAAATTTACCTCTAGCTATTTTCTTTTCGGACGCCGCTTTGAAGAAAACTTCCTGCTGACAAAAGAAAAAAATCTTCTTCCCTACAAGCAAAATTACATACTACAAGGATTAGGAGACTTTTCTAAATTAAAACACAAAATGGATCAGACAAACAGTTTTCAAAAATACATATTATACAAGAGCATATTATATAACAAATTAACAAAAACTTACGTGTTATTTGTTTACAAAAGAAATGGCTACAAAAATTCTTGAAATCTAGTTTATAATATGGCCAAATTAGATTATCAAAAAACTTATGGATATCCTTTTTATGAAAATACTGTAGAATTTAATCTTATATATGAAATATCTTTTATATATAATATTCAAATTGAAATTGTTTTACAACAACAATGGATTAGAGCAAATGTCATATGTCAATAATGTTTAATGAAAGCAATTATTTAAAATGTCTATATAACTTGGAAAAATTAATATATTAAAAGGTACCTTAATTTTCACATAATTTTGAACTTAACTTTGAAACAAAAACTTGCTAAATTCCTGGGATTGGAGCTGCAAGGACAAATTCTCAAACTGGAATACAGGGAACCATTTTCATACTCAGGAACGACGATCAAATCAGTTTTAGTGGAGGAATCAAGCTAGCAACCGATAACACTGCTGATGGGACATCCTATATACTAATATTTTTAAAAACTCCACCTGTCTCCGGTACACTGTACAAATCCTCTGATTACTACTCTGTCAAAACGGCATTTAATGCAAAGAGTATTATTATATCATATTCACTGGTCTTAAGACATAACCAAAAAATTGAACCGACTTTGTTTCCAAGTCGACAGACACGACTTCTTAGCTTGACTGCATCGTTCGATTTATTTAGCTTGACTGCCTCACTGCGTTACATTCTCTAAATTCGACGCCACAATTTTATTTCCATTGCGTCTCTCAGGCGCCAGGAAACCTAAATAAACAATATCTCCGGCTTATTGCGTTGTAAAAAAAATGGAATACCTGACTTGCAATAATTTTTTCCAAGAACCTTTTTCTATAAATCCTAAACAAACAATATTCCCCTTGATATTCGTTCTTAACAACTTCGAAACGACCAAAACAACTTTTTTTTTCAACCGGAATATTAGGGGACTCATGTATATTTACTTTTAAATTGGGTAAAAATAACACGTATTTATTGATTATTCTAGCGACCCTAATTTTAACCTGACAATGTACCAAAAGGTTATGGGATTTGTAAGTAAACATAGACAAAAAAACATTTCCAGCGTTATTACGCATTTAAAAATCTCAACTTCAAATTTTTTCGTAAAAGACAAACACAGATTTCTTGGTAATCTTTATGCATACTGACGAGATAAACAAACAGGGACGTATTATAAAAATTTAAAACGCTATGATCGCTTCCTAGGTCAAACTGATTTAATTTTGATACGTCTTCTACTAGGTTTCTATTATTCGTTAAGATATAATCTATTTCATTCTTTGTCTTTTTATCGGGGCTCATCCATGTCCATTTTCTGCTTGGCTTTTTATTGAAAAAGGAGTTTATTGAGTACATGTTATGTTCATTCATGCAATTGAGAAGCATTTCTCCTCTGTCGTTTCTTTTCCCGTAACCATAGTTACCAATTAAATGTTATAATCTTTCTCCTTTTTGCCCAATTTAGCATTAAAATCACCTAATAGTATTTCGTAATTTGCTTTAGTTGTTTCTATAGCTGCTATTATTTCATCATAAAATATTTCTACTTCTTCATCGTCGTGGCTTTTGGTCGGAGCGTACAGTTGGATCACTTTCAGAGTGGTTCTTTTATTAATCCTGATGATGAGATATGCTACTCTGTCTGATAAGGGCTTGAATTCTTCGATACAGTGTGTGAGGCTTTGTTTTACTAAGAATCCCACTCCCGTGTATTCGCCACCTTTATGCATAAAATGTGTGTCATTTTTTAGTATTATATACTCATCACTTTTTCTTCTAGTCTCGCATATACCAAGGATATCCCATTTTATATCCTTTAGTTCACTTTCTATTTCTGGGATTCTATTGTCGTCCGTCAGTGTTCGAATAATGTAGGAGCATAGTCAAATTGTCATCTTTTGGCAGCAGGGTCTTACCCTAGAATTCTTAGCACCCCCCTTTCGATAGTTGTTTGATCACTGCCGTGATCAAGACTCTGGGAAATGCTGGGCACTGGGAGCATTTTCTTTTTTGTCCTGTACATTGACTTGAAGGTTTGGACCGTTATCTCCTCACGCTGGTCCAGTGTGGGTTGAGGAGGGAAGGGGTAGCACGTTAAGAAGAAGAAATTATCAATAACTTTAGCTACATAATTACTTAAATTTAATTTCGTTTATATTAGATTGCGTAAATACAATGTAAATATATTCCTTATTTGAGGTCTGCACTGTGTGCGTTTATGATTTACTACCCGATTGGCATTTCTTAATTTTTTAAGTGCTGCTAAACATTAAGAAATATATTAGTCTAATTAGGATTCTACGAAAAATACATTAATAAAGAGTAATACAAAAACAAAAGAAGATATTTACATTCAAGTTGAAATTTGCATACTGTCCATCGAATAAATTAATAAGCTTTGTGTTTGATTTTCTCTTCGGCGTTCGTCGAATCTCATTAGCCGATGTACAAGTCTATCTTCGGCAACGTTGCATGAAAACACCAAATAGGTTACCAGTAAAGGAGTAACTGTTCGAAGAATTTTAATTTCATTTTAATTTATTTTTAATTGAAGTTTGAAAAGGATAGTAAATCGTCGGATCACATGAAAGGAATCTTTAACATGAATATTCAGAGGCTTCTTTAGGAATTATTTCGTAAGTGGAAATTGGTATTTGTTCTGAATTTCGTCCCCGCTTCCGGATATCGCTAACAAACAAATAACTGTACTTTCGTCTTGTCTAAGGTAAAATGGTAGTTGTTGGTATGTCCATTCCCTATTCTGGATTTGTTTTATCGGATGAATTTGTTGTACACTGCTCAATCTAAATTGGGTAGTGCTTACCCAAAATGGAAACTGTTCAATTTAGTTTTATCAAAACGGCTAAAAGGGCAAAACAGCTAGAATGAAATAAAGGAAAATATAAAATAATTCTTAAATTTAGCATGAAATTAGTAAAACTGAAATAAAAATTTCGAAGGAAATGAAAAATAATGAAGGAAAAAAAAACTTTCTTTTCGCCCGTCATTATTTTGTAATAGTTGTTTGAGTTGTTCAGCTCGAATTAATCCATAATACACAACGAGTCTGTTACAGCCCAAGCCCCAGCAGTTTCTGTCGATCCCCATGCTGCCATTGCTTCTTGTACCTCAACTTTCCAAGTACTCTTTCGTTGGCTTCATTTTCGCACGTCCTTTCTTGCTGGCATGTTATTTTTGTACATGTACTCTTTTCCATTCTCTGGAGATGTCCATACCACATAAGCTGCTTGCTATTAATAGTAACGAGATTGTCTCCTTCTACTTGCATCCTCTACTTGCAAGCTTTTTTTGGAAAGACGTGGAAAGGTTCGTCGAAAGGTGTCCCAGATACTGTTGGATTTAACCAGAAGGCAGGACCACAGGAGAACGGCCAGAGTTCACACACGAAATCCGGGCCCCCATGGTGCGCCCCTGTCAGGTCGCCTACCAACTAAAAACACCTCCTCTTCTTGAACGCTGAATATCCACGGACGAGTTTATTAGAGAACGAAACATGGCGGCATCCCGCGCAGTCTGGAAA